AATTTATTTAACAAAAAAATCTAAAGATTTATACAAGAAAAACTATAAGACCCCAGTACAGAAAACCAAAAGTGATCTCCACAAATGGAAGAACATCCCCTGCTCGTGGATTGGAAGGCTTAACATAGTAAAGATGACAATCTTACCCAAAGCACTTTACAAATTCAATGCTATTCCGATTCAAATACCAACAACCTTCTTCAAAGAATTGGAAAAAACTAATTACCATTTTCATATGGAGAGGGAAGAAACCCAGAATTAGCAGAGAACTCCTCAAGAAGAAGGGCAAAGTTGAAGGACTTGACGTACCCAATTTTAATGCCGATTCCATAGCTACAGTGGTCAAAACAGCATAGTACTGGCACGATGACAGACACTCAGACCAGTGGAAAAGAAAAGAAAGCCCAGGAATAAAATCATCAGATATAGACTGCTGATCTTTGACAAGGGTCCCCAAACCATCAAGTGGGGCTGGAAACAATGGATATCCACATGTAGAAAAATGAAACAAGGCGTTTATCTCACCCTGTGCACAAGAATAAACTCAAGGTGGATCACAGACCTAGAAGTTAAACCCCAAACCATCAGAACCATCACAGAGGGAATCAGGACTAACCTCAGAGCACTGGCCCAGGGAACTCATATGCTCACTGCAATAGGGAAGGGTACACACACAGGTGAACTGGAAATCGACAAATGGGATTTAATAAGAATAAAACACCAGTGCACCTCGAAAGACTTCACCAAGAAGGTGCCAAGTCACAGACTGGGAGAGGATTTTTAGTAATGATACATCAGACAAAGGGCTCCTTACTAAAATCTACAACACTCTCATGACCTGCAAAAAGAGGAATACAGTTAACCCCCTAAAGAAGTGGGCAAAAGAACTGAAAATAACTTTCACTAGGGAGGAGATGCATATGGCCAACAAGCATATGAGAAAGTGTTCCCAGTCATTAGATGTAAGAGAAACGCAAATTAAAACAACCATGAGATACCACCTAACACCCCTGAGGCTAGCCCAAATCAGCAAATCAGAGCGCAACAAGTGTTGGAGGGGCTGTGGTGAAGTAGGAACCCTCCTCCACTGCTAGTGGTCGTGTAGATTTGTACAGCCATTGTGGAACGCAATCTGGAGATACTTAAAGCAAATGGAAATTGATCTACCTTATGATCCATTCATCCCTCTACTGGGCATATACCCAGAGGAGGTAACAAATAAAACACGACCAGTCATCTGCACTCCAATTTTTACTGGGGCACAATTCACAATTGCAAAGACTTGGAACCAGCCTAAGTTTCCATCGACGAGTGGGTTAGTAAACTCTGGCACATATACACAATGAAGTACTATGCAGCACCAAAAAGCACAGACGATCACATGAAGCATGTCATTCTTGGGAAGAGTTGGAAGGAATCATGTTAAGTGAGGTAAGCCAATCTCAAAAGGACAGGTATAACATGAGTCCCCTGAGGTAAGTACAATCAGCA